TTGAGAAAATATATTTCTCACCCATTATATTCCTTTCATAGACCCTTAAATTGCCTGATAATCAAATTTTTGTATTTAATTTGTCAGTGTCAATTAACAAAAATTTTTTTTACTATAGTTACCAACCGTCTCACATCATGCGGGATGGTCTCGCATTTCAAAGTGATTTTGGATGAAACACACATCAATGTGCAGAAACACAGTGATCAGAAATCACGCATTCAGCACAAGTCTATGTGTGATAACGAATTATCACAAATTCAGGGGAAAATGTGATTAAAATTACTGTATAAGAAATAGGTTTTATTAAAAATATAAAAACATTCATGCAGTAGCTTGAGTCATTGGCGAGCTTTCGTTATCTTGTTCTAGAATCAATTCACTGAGAAAATTTCTCTTTCCCGAACAAAACAACCCAGCCAACCACGTATCTAGTAGAATCTAATAGTCGCTTGCGGTCTTGCGTGTTCATTGTTGCAACCAACCGTTGAATATGTGGCTGAAACCCGGGCCCCCGATGTTTCCCCCTACCTCGAGGGTCCTGCCGGTCCCCCACCAACTGGTGTAGTCACGCATTTCAAAAGTCTCAGGTTGGTACTATGTAATAGCAGTTATGTTTGAAAAAGGTCTACATCAAAACATTCCGTCTAAAGTGGATCTGAAGTTCATTAGCTGGGTTGAGGTCTCGATCAGGAAATTCGAAGGAGGATGGGGTTCGCCAGAAAAGAGGGGGGTTTGCTAGAAAAGGGGGTTTGCTGAACCATAAAAACCACTCCCTGGCTACGGGCCTGCTAGAGTTTTTCACATTTTACAACACAAGTTCTAGTATTACCTCAACATCTCAGAAAAATTATGCAGGACAGCCTGAGAAAATCTGCACAAGATAATTTGTTAAGACATGTTACTCCTGCTTAACTGATTAGAATTTTCATTAGTTAATCGTAGTGCTGTTTAAATCCCTCTACACAGGTGATACAATAAATCAGTGATTGAAGGGTTATTTTTAGCAAATGACATCAACTGCTGAACAATTTGCGAACCAGGTTATGTAATAAATCCGTGGAATGAATTTGGCGGCTTGGTCACACCGAGTTATCATTAATGCTGAATTACCGTTGGTGATGTATTTGAGGATTTATAAATAGACATGCGAACGTGATTTGTTTTTGCATGTGGCAAAAAGCCACAATTTACACTTTTGAAAATCAATGCAAAAAGCATGAAAACATATAAAAATAGCTATAGAATTTTAACAATTTTGTGAAGTTGTAATCTTATAATTGCAAATTCACACAATTGTTGAAATTGTTTAAATGCTGATTACAAAAAATAAAATGCTGAGTTATAATGTTTAGTTGAAAAAGTTCCACACAAATACTGTACAGCAAAATGTAAAATATAAGAAAAATTATTATGTAAGATACTCTTATATAAATATATTCAAATAAGTTTGAATTTTAAATAATATATTGTAATGTAATTCTTAAATTTTTAGAAACAGCATGTAATTCACTTTAAAGATATGAAATGGATAGTCATAAAATTTATTAGAATATCATTAATCAAGCAAATAACCTATATATTATGTAAATCTTAAATGCGTTATTATTTTACGAAAGAGTATTTTCCACAATCTACAAGCTTTATAAATTTATGACCTCAGCTGTCTATTATGTATGTAGGTCAAATTATCATGTCCCTCGACCTTCATAGTTGCTTCTTAAAATAAATATCCCTACAGTACTTCATCCAAACCATTTCCTATTTAGATGTCTATTAGGAAAGTTGTTCTGAATTCCATATTTATTTTTGGAATCCACACAACAACAAAAAAAAAATAAATAAAAGGAGAAAATGCTATAGATAATTTAAAGTTCGCTGAAATTTAGGCTGATAGCTCTATTATGGCTGTGTTCTCACGCAGGTGCTAACGGTTAGCGCTAACGGTTAGCTCTCGATCCGGATACTAGGGCTCTCGTGAGAACCAGGCTTATATTTAGTTAAGCTCTATTCAGATTATTACATTTTATTATGCGACGAATACTTGTGATATGCCCATATTTGGGTGTGATATGACATCACCATCACGCCCATATATGGGCAAATCAAAAATATTTGTCACGAAATACTGAACAGAGCTTCAGAATAACAGATATATATATATATATATATATATATATATATTGTAGATTCGTCTGCAGATATTGGGATTTCTTCTAGTGGATGCATAGTTTATTTTGTCATTCTGATCGGATTTTCTCTACTGTTCCGTTTTAATTCTTATATCGTTTTGCATTATTTGGCC